ACTTCAATTTTTCTGGTTCTAAGATATCCTGGAACATATTTTGCCATATTCCTGAAGTGTTTGGCTGAATTTAATTCACCTTTTCTTATAAATGAATTTGTGGGTGAAGCTGCTGAGATCATAATTTGTTTAGGAATACTATAATTTACAAGTGAACAGAAGATGCACATGATTCAGAGAATATTATCAATTCAATAAACCAGGACCTATGAAATTTATAATGTGAAATATGGTATTGCAATCACTTCCATTTCTGTATTCAATCCTAAATCAACTCAGAAATCAATATAATATATTCTCTCTGCTATCCTAGGATCATAACCTACATTCTGGAATATAAAAAAACAAAATTCACTCGGAGACTGTTGCTCTGTATGGTAGCCTTGTTCTGCTATCCGTTCATTTAATAATCAGATTAAGGACACCTAATTGGACAGTGCTATGAGATATTTGGTAACCCTGTTCGGTTAGCTGTATAACTTTTGACTTATTTGGCTTGAGTACCAAACAACTCTTACCAAACACGCTTAAAAATATATAAAAAAATGAGTTCCAAAACATCATACTACAGGTGGAGGCGGAGTTTCCCAAATATCAAACACATTTTCTTCACTATGAAGAGCAAAGAGGCGGTCACCACCGATGGAGAAGTCGCATATAGAACCGCCATAACTCCGGCGTAGTCGAGACGTGAGCACCCAATCAGGCCCACAAAAGACCGAAACACTATCATTCATCGAGGAGAACAATTGGCCTTCATGCAATGCTAGTTTAGGGTAGCATGGTTCATCCGACATCTTCCCCCCTTTCATCAATCGACTTCTTGACCTCCACCTCACACTCCCTCCTCCACCGCTCCTCAAATCCAGAAAACCTAAATCTTCGTACTCATTCACCACACACACTGAACCAGTTCCCTCCATGCCAATCGCGTCCCTGACCCGTCTCTCGTCCGTGATAGGCGCCCCGATATCCGACCACGACCACACCATTGTCTTCTTGTCCCTAAAATCCAACAAACTTATGTAACAATTGTCTTTTCTTGGAAACAAAGTTGAAACCAAGAGACAATTGGTCCCATGTAGCCATTGTAGCCTGTCTGCTTCACCTAGTGACCATCCATCTGGTTCATAGAAGAAATCTGTCTGTTTCCCGGTGATATGGTCCCAAACTCCAATCCCGTACTCATTACTTCTACCTTTACAGCTCGAGAACAAGAGTTTATGATCTGGGGTGAAACTCAATGCTCCCGCGGTGTATCGCTTGACTTGGTTCTCGTGGGTGACTTGGAACTTATACCTTAGCTCACCCGTGGAAGCATTGAACAACCCGATCCCGCCATCTCCCCGCCCGATCCTCTCACAAGTAGTGATCACTATGCTATTTGAATCTACCCAACCGGCATCATTAACCCTTTGATAATCCAGATTGATAGGAGGGTGTTCTTCCATCATCCAATCGTATACGTGTACCATACTTCCATGTGCCACGCAGCAACCGCCATCGGGGCCTGCTCGGATGGCAGTCCCATCACCCGGGGCACGGCCCGTCATTGAACAAGCTAACTGGAGACGGTTTCCATCAAATGGGCCCCACTTAGCTGATCTGACATGATCGGATAGGCCGTAGAACAAGGCCTCTCTGTATAGGAGTTTCTCTGGGAGGTTTGGAGGGATGTGAAGCTCCCCTGTTCTTAGAAGGTCAAGAATGGCTGCAAAGCAATCTGGGTTTCGATCGATGAAGTGCTCTGTCGTTGTGGCGTCAGATTGCAAGCTCCAATCGTCATCAAACATGGCCCCGAACAGAGAATTCCGGCCGGCATTAGCGAGAGTGGTGGCAGTGGTTTCAAACGCTCTTCCACCCACGTTGAACCTTACCCGATCTTTCTGGATTCCCATCTTTCAAATCCCCAGATATAAAAAAAAATGACAACTTTAGATCCTCGGAAATGCAGAGTAAGAAGATTAAACCCAGAAATGGGATTCAAAAAATCTTTATCGAAGAATAGATTGATGATGCGAAACAGAAAATCCTAAATAGAAAATAAGATATTAGTTGAAGAGAAATTCATGGGTGTGTATATATATTAGTAAAACGAATCATCAGGCAATATTTATTATGAAGGAAATGATCAGAAATGAATGTGTGATCTCTGGACTCTGGGTATTGCAGAGTGAAGAATTTGGGGATTGGGTTTTTAAAGAGTAATCAGATTTGGGAAGAGAATATTTGAAGATTAGGAGCACTTGCCTTTGAAAAATAAATAAATAAATAAATAATAAAAGGAAAGAAATCTTGTTGATCAACTACTTTATCTACTATTCTATTCTTTTTTCTGTCCCTCTTTGCTTTATCTGTTATGATCTGGTCTTTCTCAAGTATGAACTCTTCTCATTCTCAATCTTCATGAGAGTGCTCACAATTAGACTTTACAAATACTTTGACTTCGTATGGGGTCAACTTTATCAACTAAGAGTTGCTCATGTTTCCGCCGTTGGATTCTCTAATCTTTCATCGCATATATTCCTATACTACGTCCTTACGTAGAATACCATACATACGTTTTTTTAACACTTCTAATCTACTATGATTATTTATACAAAAATCTTAGGTTTGTTTAAAAAAAATACAAAAACCTTAGGGGTAGACAAAATGTGTATCTCCAATTTCCAAACACAAGTAATTATTATTTTGTTCCAATTTAAACTTCTCACTTACCACTTTTTAGCGATATAATTAAATTTTCTCATTTCTATTTTAGAAACTAATTGATACTTTTAGGACCTCATTGTTATATACTTACCAAAATTACATCTCAAAATATACTACAAAAGTTTAACAATGCATAGATGGACAAAAAGTTACCATTGAGCCGTTTTAGACAAACTTGTTCTCACCATAGCTTATTGAATATTAGTTCTGTTGTTCAAACATTTACCAACCACCGGTCTTAAAGCTTCTATAGCTTTAATGAGTTAAATAAGTGGAAGTTCTTCATCAACATACCGGTTCGTGGGGGATGCGACAAACTTGTCGAGCTCTACGATGGATGTGTTTGTTCTTGGGGGTGGCGACAAACTCATCGAACTTGTCGAGCTCGACGATGGATGGGTTTGTGGGGTGAAGCAGACGACGTATGAATGGATTGTGAGGGGATACGACGAACCCGCCGAACTCAAAGATGAATGAGTTCGTGGGGGTGAGGCAGAGGACATTGACAACGGAGGGGGTGCTTGAAGCATGGTAGGGATGTGTGAAAGATGATACCATATGCCCATATGGGGAAGTTGGGGATGACAGTTTTGGAAAGAAGAAAGACAAGTTGGGGAGCGCATGGGGGAACTGAAGGCTAGATAGAAATTTGAGGGTATTTATATGGTGTACCCATTGTTCTAAAACTCGTTAGGCGCTAGTCGGGCGGTTGAGAGGCGCTTAGACGGCCGACTAGGCCGATTTTTTGGCCGACTAGACCGATTTTTTGACCGACTAGTCCGACTAGGCCTCTACAGTTAGGGCCGCCTAGGCCGATTTTTAGAACAATGTGTGCAGCGGAGGGGGTGCTTGAAGTATGGTAGGGATGTGTGAAAGATGATACCATATGGGGAAGTTGCGGATGAGAGTTTTGGAAAGAAGAAAGACAAGTCGGGGAGCACATGGGGAACTGAAGGCTAGATAGAAATTTGAGGGTATTTATATGGTGTGCCCATTGTTCTAAAACTCGCTAGGCGCTAGTCGGGCGGTTGAGGGGCGCCTAGCGTGTACCTAGTGTGTACACATTTTGTATACACCTATCATTTTTGTTATTTATAAGAAAATGCATGTCATACACCTTTAATGTACAGATTTGACACACCCTATATAAGGGTCTTTTTAACCTCTCTTTCACCTTTCTTCTTCTCTTTATCTTTCATTTCCTTTTCTATTCATACCCCACTTCTTCATCATCTTTCAAGTTCCGTCCTTCATGCTCATCATGTTCACCTTTATCATATTCCAGAAATAAAAAAAACAATTGAAGTTTGAGAGTTGTTGGCCTAAAGTTACAGGAAAATCATATATTTCAGGTATTCAAATCTGAATCATCGTCAGAGATTGTCATCGATAACATAATGTCCGTGACGGTTTAAGTATCAATACAATTTTTCAGTTTGAAAAAATGAAACTAAAAGATTAGTAAATTTTTGTAAAGTTGCATCATAGGAAAACAAGACCATATATTGATACTAGTTTGCATGTCATTCACCTTGATTTTCCTTTTCTTTTTTATAGAAGTAAGGTTTAGGTAGATTTCTGTGTACAGACATAAATTTTTTTGTGTACATTCATTAGCTACTTACGACATGTAAAGAATGTTAATCACAAACAAAAAGTACAAGTACAACCATTTTTTATTTGTTACATACAATTAATGCATGTCTGCGGCTGCAATCGGAACTTGACATTTTGCCTGTTTTATAAGGGGGAAGGTGTGCTGCACTATTAGCGATTGTTTTTAGTGTAGCGATAAACGCAAAGATACACAAGTGGTATCAGAGCCAAAGGTCACGAATTCGACCCCCGGCAACAGCAGGTTGCACATTTGAGGTTGGCAGGTGCTGGGGGGGAATTGTTGGGCCACGAGAACGTGATGCCAATAGTTCTACTAGCCTACCAGTGCAATCGAAACATATCATTTTGCATGTTCTATAAGGGGGAAGGGTGTGCTACAAAATCAATAACTGCTTCTAGTGTAGCGGTAAGCGAAATGATCCATAAAATTTCAGTATATGAATTTATAAAATGTAAATGTACAAAACCATATGTTCGAATAACAGTGACTATGCTCAAAGAACTACTCCGTATATAAACTTGTAAAGCATACTCTCTCTATCCCTTATAACTTTGTCATCTTTCATTTTTTGGATGTACCAAAATTTTTGTCATTTTCCCTTTTAATCGATGAATTCGTGGTTCATATAATTTCTCTCTCTTTTACATAAATCTTAATCACACAGTTTTTATTTTATTGTTTCTCATGCCAGTCAAACCTGGTAGAGTTTTAGAGATAAAAGGGGGTTTATCATTACACAGTAGATATGTAGGTAATCAATCCATTAACCAAAAATTAGAGATGTAATCCAGATCCCTTCAATTTGTTCTTGTTGATGTCATCAAGAAAGGAAAACATTTCTGGGCTGAGATAATTGCGTGAGTCGCCAACTTTGCCTGTGCGGAAGAACATGGAGTTTGATACTGATAAGAGCATCTCCAATGGTGTTGTGCATTGGTGCTGATGTGGCAATGAAATGGAGAAGGTCTAGATCAAAAAATAACAAAAGACCCTAGTCTATTGAGTTTGTACTCCAATGCAGCAAGCAGCAATAAATAAATAAATAAAAAAGATAATTGATGGAAGAGAAAAGCAAATGTTCATGCACTAGAAGCAAACTAATTCTTTTGTTGTCAGAACTCAGAAAGTCGGACCGAAGGTGCATATGTAGAACTAGTGCTGGACCCTTGTTATTGCCACATCAGATTTGGAGGTCCATTTATATTTGCATTGGAGAATAGATTTGGTAAAGTAAAGTGCAATTGATGACTTGGAACTGCAATGGACTCTAGCATTGGAGTTGCCCTAAGGAAGGCGTGATGGGTTTGACTTTGTGGGATTGGTTGGCAGCGTAGGAAGTCAACTTATCAAAACTACAAATATCTATGATTCTCTCCTTAAGTCCCATCTTCTCTTCTTCTATAGTGAATGGATGACCAATGAAATTGGCAAGGCGGCTGATGTGTATTACAGGAGAGGCTATCATGTCCTCATACCTATGATGATATCATGAAACTACATTAGATAAGATGTAAATGAAATTATATTAAATAGTGATGCAATTGTAGAACATTCTATGTTTGAAAATGCTAGAAGTGTTCTAGCATATGATGAAACCATATTAATAATAAGAACAAGGGTCATAATACTATCATTAAATTTGATATGATGAAAGATTTGATCGGTCATAATACTATTATTAAATTTGGTTTCCATTCTATGTTTGTTAACCTCATCTATGGTAAGTTTAAGTGTATGCCTAATATCAATCATATGTCTTTTTGTTTATGACTTAATTGTCTTGTCTAATGCTAAAAAACACTATTGTTTTGGTGAATAAAACTATCAGTGATTATGAAACTTTTTCGGGGCAGCTTATTAGCAAAAAAAAGAGCGTTTACCTTGTTTCAAAACATGCTAAGAACCATTCTTAAACGATTATTAAAAGTATTTTCAAAATTCAAAGGGGCTCTTTTCCTTTTACCTACTTGGGTGCAAACATTTTCACCGTGAGAACACTGACTTCCTATTTTGAGCATATATTTTAACTAAATTTGATAAGAAGTTAGCTGGCTTGAAGCATAAACTGCTTTCGGTTGGTGGTAAGATGATCCTTATTCAGCATGTTCTCAATACTCTTCCCTTGTATCATATGGATGTCTCTCCCCCCGCACTATTATTATCTATGGAGTATAAAATGGAGAGGAAACTCTCAAACGTTTTATGGGATAGAAATTCTGATAATCACAAGCACATTTGGCAAAACTGTTGTTAGCTTGTTTCTGAAAAGGTTTGGGCTTTAGAAGCTTATTTCATCTCCAAAAGGCTTTAGAAGGTTAAGAACAATACCAGTATCTGGGCTAACTGGTATAACTCAATCATGATACTCAGGGCCGGCCCTGGGGAGGTAGAATCGGTGCCACTGCACAGGGCCTCAAAAATATGACGGCCCCAAATTTTTTTCTTTTAGTATTAGTATTAGGTGGTAGTCAGCCCAAGTCCAAAATAAACCCAAAAGCGTAGATCACAAAACCAAAACGGAAGTACAGAACGTCGATTGAAGAAATAATAACGCAACTTGCATCGAGGGCCTCTACGGGTCTACTCCTCTAGGCGTTAATCGCAGGCAGCAAAACGGCGTTCGCATCTAGGCCCCTGTCCAGCACCGCAGTACCGCACCTCCGGCAGTCCCCTCTCCGCCGGTTTAGCAGCAGCTGTCTACACGCGCACGCCCCAAGTCTCGAATCTCCATCGGCCAGTGCATACTTCTATAGTTCTATTACTCTATTAGACTGTTTTAATTGTTTTATATGTTTGGGAATTTCGATTATTAGCATAAACGTAGAGTAAATTGTTTATCGTTTATGCCTTAGGCCACCTAATGTATTACTACCGCCCTCCCACTAAGATTGGGACGAGAGAAAGTGACACAATTATTAAGAAAAGTATGTTTGTATGATTGATATTAAATTGATAAATAAAAATAAAGTTAGAATGATTTAGAGTCACACAATCTTTACCAAATAAGTTATGGGACAATCTTAGTGGGACTTCCCGAAAAGGTAAAATGGGACAAGCGGAACGGAGGGAGTATTTAGCTATTGTGGTTGTTTTTTATTTTTTGTAATTAATTGATGAATTATTAAATTATGTTTAATAATTTGGTATAAGTTATTAAGTAAATATTAAATTAATTATTTATGTTCTATCTCTCTTAGTGTTCGGAAAAAAGGCCCATTTTTTTAAGTCGCACCGGGTCTCTATTTTTGCAGGACCGGCCCTGATGATACTCGTTCGGTTATGATAAGGCCATCAACTCTGTTAATCATATTTTTGAGGCAAATTGTTGTATTCGGTGAATAGGAGATCTAGCTCCTTCGGGTATTCTAACTGGTCTGATATCGGTCCACTGTATCTTTCCTCTGATGATATCCCGGTCCACCTCAGTAATCTATCTATTAAGAGTGTGATGCCTGATAACATATTGATCCCTTCTGTTTTTTGGCACTGTTTTGCACTTTTTGCATTGTTTTGATATAGATTTTTATGCCAAATAAGAAAGTGAGACTTTATTTCGGGACTGCCCGAAAAAGAAAATGAGAAGTTAATTTCGAGACGGAGGAGTAAATTACTAACTATAGTAAGCAGATGTAGCAATATATGCCGAATAGATGGAGAGAAGTGAGCATGGAGTTTGTGCGGTACATGAGTAGCTTTTTTTTTTACCAGTGGTACATGAGTAGCTTGTTTTTTTTACCAGCGGTACAGGAGTAGCTAGTATTTAGTACTTTCTCCAGTCTGTTTAGATTCTCACATTTTTGGATCTTTTTTATCTGTTATTAAGACTGTTCTATACTAAATTTGATAACATTTTTGTGATTTTAAATCATTTTCGCTTTATTTTTATTTTATCAATTCAATATCAATCACATAAACCCAATTTTTTAATAACTGCGCTACTTCCTCTTAATTATATCAATGTTAAGGACTAAGGCAGGGCATGTTAATTAGCAGCTTATACAGGCTAGCTTTGTATATACGGAGTATAATAATAATAATAATAATAATAATAATAATAATAATAATAATAATAATAAAAGGCTAAAGGGTCAAATAGGTACATGAACTAACTTAAAGTGTTCAATTAGCCCCTTATATAGGAGGTTCTGCTCGGCCGTCGCATATTGGGGCGGTTCCCGGTGGAATTTTTTGATGAAATTTTTTGAACATGTTCTTCATTAAGTCTAGTTTATCCATACCAAATTTCAGTTAAAAATTAAATCGGGAAGGCAGTCAAATGATTTTCCAAAATGTACTGCGATGTTTAACTGCACAGTTATCTTCAAAAAAACATTTGACTGCCTTCCCGGTTGAATTTGTAGCTGAAATTTGGTATGGGTAAACTAGACTTAATGAAGAACATGCTCAAAAAATTTAATCAAAAAATTCCACCGGGAACCGCCACAATTGGCGACGGCCGGGCAGAACCTCCTATACAAGGGGCTAATTGAACACTTTAAGTTAGTTCATGTACCTATTTGACCCTTTAGCCTAAAAAAAAATACGAGTATGTACGTAATAACCAAGCCTGAGCAGCTAATTAAGGTTGTAAGGGGCTACCAAATCAACTCCTGTATTTCTTGAGAATATATGATAATTAAAAGATTTGCAAAGTCAATTTATTTTGGCCAAAACAGTATCACTGTATTTACTTATGTATAGCATATCAATTTTTTTTAGTACTCCGTATATTCTAATTTGAATTTTGACTTTATAGAGTGTAGTTTAATTTATTAATAAAACTCATTTAGCCACCCGAATTATTTAACTTTATCGTTAGTCAACCTTAAAATAATGAAGTACAATTCAATTCGGGATGAAGGAAGTATATTAATTAACATTCACAAATCACAATTATTTATTGACGGAAAAAAGGTGAAAATGAAATGGTGTTAGCTAGTATTCCTCTGTCCCATTTTACCTGTATTATTTTCCTTTTTGAGTTGTCCCAAAATAAGTGACACATTTATTTGGAAAGAAATATGTGATCCACAAAATTTCACTTTATTATACTCAAATCTCAATTACAACTTTTACTTTTTCAATCATTTTATTAATAATTGTATCAAACTAAAAGAAAACACATAAAATGGGGTCGGAGATAGTACTACGCAAAGGTGGATCTACGGTGCGGGTAGTAGGGGCAACTGCCCCCTCTTCACCCACACCCAACCCGTACATATACATACGAAGTATATATTTTCTGTATATATTCACACATATGCACTCTATGTATGTATTTTTACACATATTTGATACATAACCCCTCTTAACCCCCACCCACCCTATATAGGAAAATATTCACGTAAGGTACGACTAAAAGTTAAAATTTTAGGTCTCTTTCATGTAAGGACGATTTTTTTAATGAAATTTTTTGAGAATGTTCCCCCTGAAGTGTATATTGTATCTACCAAATTTCAGATTAAAATTTAATCGGTAAGTCACTCAAATAATTTTTTTTTAAATTGGGCAGTTTTTTATACATATAACATGCATTTTTTGTCAATAGTTTAGTTAACTGACTTCCGGATTGAATTTTAAGTTGAAATTTGATGGACATAACCTACACTTTATGGAGAATATGCTCACAAAATTTCATTAAAAAATTTGACTCAGAAGCCCATCAATTAAAGGAGGCCTAAAACTTACAGAGTTTAGGCTTACCTTAGGAGAACACTCCCATGTATATATATATACTTAAATATCCATTTATTAACTAATTGTGATGTTGGTGGAGTGGTGGAAGACTGGAAGGGTTACATTGCTAGCTTTTTGGGGACTCGGGTTCAATTCCCATTTATTCTTTTATTGTTTCATTTTATGTCTAAAACTTAGGACATGTTTACTTTACGGGTTACTAAATGGTCTTACTAAGACCCGCGTTAATAAGTGGCGCACAAAATAAGCAACGTTGTAAGATTGTTTTTACTTCAAAAGGTTTAAAACACCGTTTAATATTAAAATATCAAAAATAACCCTATACATATATAGACATTCAATGACACAAACATTCATGAACACAAGTATTATGTGTACCCATACCCCCAACCCTTACCCCCACCTTACCTTACCCCGACCCCACCCACCCCAACGCCCCTACCGGGTAGTGGGTAGGGTTGGGGTAAGGTAGGGTAGGGAGTTGGGATAGGATGGCGGTAGGGTGGGGTCGGGACCAAGGTGGGGCCGGGGTAGGGAAGGGGTAGGGTGGGGGGTAGACTGGCGGTAAGGGTGGGGGTAGTGGGTGGGGTTGGGGTAAGGTAGGGGTAGGGTAGGGAGTTGGGATAGGATGGCGGTAGGGTGGGGTCGGGACCAGGGTGGGGCTGGGGTAGGGAAAGGGTAGGATGGCGGTGGGGGTAGGATGGAGGTAAGGGTGGGGGTAGTGGGTAGGGTTGGGGTTGGGGTAAGGTAGCGGTAGAGTGGGCCCGGGATCCGGGTGGGGCCGAGGTAGGGTGGCGGTACGGGTGTAGGATGGCGGTGGGGTGGGGCCGAGGTAGGAGGCATGTGGTAAGGGGTAAGGTAGGGGTAAGTGGTAATATACGAGGGGTGGGGTAGGGTAGGGTGGGTCGGGGTGGGGTCGAGGTGGTAGGGGGTGGCGGTAGGGTAGGGTGGATCGAGGTGGGGTCGAGGTGGTAGGGGGGTGGCGGTAGGGTAGGGTGGATCGGGGTGGGGCCGAGGTCGGGGCATGTGGTGGGGGGTGGGGTAAGGTCATTATAGGGAAAAATGGGTACGCGGGGTGGGGGTTGGGTGGGTAGGGTAGGGTAGGGGTAAGGTACGAGGATGGAGGTACCGGAATGGAATCGACATCGGAGCGGGACCGGACCCACCACTAGGTGTAAGTATGCAAATTCATTGCAAAGGCACTGTAGCATCTGCGTTTTCCAAATTTGGAAAACTAGTGAAAGTCACTTCTCCAAATCATTAAGGAAAAGAGAGACATGTTTCAGTTTTTACGTTTTGGAAAACGATTTGGTAAACGCGTTTTTCTTTTTTCCTTTCTCCAGTTTTCCAGGAATTTCTTTGGTAAGCACGTTTCCTGTTTTCTGTTTTCCAGTTTTCCAGTTTTCTGGAAAACTGGAAAATATTTCTGTTAGTAAACAGGCCCTAACATTCCAAATCTTTTTGGGACGGAATTGAAGGAGTACTATTAATGTGAAGTTACATGAACAATAAAAGTTATTTCTTAAACAGAATGTAACAATTTTTTTACATGACAGGAAAAGTAAAATATGTATTTGTGAAATGCGTATGATTGTAATTCTTATAGGGTATAGTGTATATTTTCCCACTCTCAAACAAAATCCGGAATACGCCATTGGTACTACGTACATATTACTATTACTATGGTCATGTTTGCTTTTCAGCGAATTGCTGTCTAACTGCTGCAAAATGCAACGTTTTGCAATACAAAACAATTAACGGATTGCTCAAACCGCTACTATCCAAACGGGGGATATATTAGGCCGGTATTCGTCGATAAGTCATCACCAATATAATTAAATATGAGATCAATCAGAATCCAATAAATGGAAGTAATTGATGGTTAATATCAATTAGTTAATTACTCGTAAATTATAACTCAAAGTAGGTTAATTAATCAGTGGTTTAACATATAGGGATCAGAGGGATGTAGTATAGTTAAATTAAAGTTGTATATATTACTTCTTAAATTACTATCCATGCATGCATCATCCATCGCTCCTTATACGTACTAATATACTACATATAACATATACTTCGTATAAGGAGCTAGCTAGGATTATTTATTATATTAATATTGCATGACGAAATGTAAGTATGTATACCTGAGAAAGAGTACTTTATGGGGAGATTCCAGAGAAGCATGCCAATAGGAGAGGGTATGGTCCCAGAAAGGGCCATAATGGGATACCCCGTTACAGAACGAGTAAAACACCTTATCTAACTCGATACCTGGTGTGTCCCGACCCTTCATCTTGTTCAGGAAATGCCATAGGGAGACTACGTTGTCCTTAGGGTCTCGAGAAACATAGACTATGGGTGTGGTGGAGTCCTTAATGAGACCTGGCAATGCACTGTAGGGCATATGCGTGGAGAGGATCTTAGTAGAGGGTATGGGATTGTCATGGTTTTTGTAACCGTAGTACTCGAGCCACTTGGCAAAGTCATGAGGGGAATGACACCGGAGGGACTCTTCAAGATGAGCGTCTCCCAAATTCTTGTTCATGATGCAAAAGATCAAGGCCTTGAACCATGTCGTCCCGCATTTCGGGAACGTTGCGAGAACAACGTCCGACCTGCTGGCACCAAGATCATCGCTAGACTTATTGCGGGCACACCATTTTTGTACGGCAATAACTCCTTGGAGATCAGATTTCAAGTACCAATATCCCTGGTATTGGTACAACTTCTCCATTGACGGTGACCCGTATATTTCCGTTGCAAGATATTTGATTTCAGCTTCAATTTCACTGCTTACTATTGAAGACGACATTGCAGATGGGAAATCATCTTTATCAGGGTAAATCTTACTTTTTGGGGATGCCATCAACTATCTTGTTTTGAAGAAATATAAAATTAGTATGGAAAAGTGAAAATAAGAGAATACTTCTATATGTCTGGTGTTACAATTGTGTGAAATGAGTTGGTGCTTATTTAGTTATATTTATAGTCAATGCCTTATATAAGTAGCTAGGTGCAAAAGATAATCGAGAGAATTTTCTAATTCTGAATAATCTAAATAAATTTTCTCATATAATACTATTTATCATTTAACTACTTTTTTATCACAAGATGACTCATGCGTGTACACCTATATAGGAAATTTTGCATTCTTCTTTTAATAAGTCTAAAGAAGTTCTATTTTAAGATGAAAATATGCTAACTTCATTTATGTTGTACTCCTGTTTTGAACAATTTTTTAAAACAATACTCCCTCTATGTCTTATAATAATTTTGTCGCATTTTCCCTTTTGGTTATCCCAAAAACCTTAATTATCACTTTCTGTTTTATAAAAATTAATTTTTAATATCTATTATTTCTAGAATAAATTCCACTTTTGTTCTTACGAGTATCGCACCGATTCCAAATTTGGTTCACATCTTTTGGTACATGACTATTGTGTTTTTGCCTATATATGGCCCTTTCGGCAATAATTCCGGTGGTTAAAATTGCCAGAGAAGGACAACAAATAATGGTAAAAAAACATTAGTCAAGTACCAAAAGTGGACAAAGTGAAAGATGTAAACTAAATGTGGAATGGCATAAACTTGTAGGACCAAAAGTGGAATTAATTCATTATTTCTATGTAATTTACACAAACTCAATTATAGAGTTGTTTTGTTAAACCACATGTTAATCAAATTCAGCAAAGTTATGTGAGATCAGATCGAGAATATGAAAGTACATACAATTTCAACTTAGATATAATGTATAATTTGTATGGGCATTCAAAGCATAGACATTAGACATCCATTGTTGAACAACTCTGTAATATCCATGTGTTAAAATACTCCTTATATAGAAGTCAATGTTTGCAACCATGTCGTGTGGAACCATCCACGCCAGAACTTTTACACCATCATTATCTTTTGGGTACACGCAATGATCACCATCATCACCATTATTAGGTTTACATATATTTTTAATTTCTTCAAATATAATGGAATTTTTTTTTTCAAAATAATGTTGAAAAAAAATTATTCACTTCAATAATGGTGGGTTAAAATATTTACAAAAATACTGTTGGGCTGACCATGGTTAGGCAAAGTCACCAAACGGATTGACGGCTGACCATGGTTAGGCAAAGTCACCAAACGGATTGACGACTTATAAGTTGCCAATCCATTTGGTGACTTTCCCTTTAAAACAGACGGTCGGCTAGCAGTCTGCAGGCAGAACGACTTGCAGCCTCAAAATCCAATCCGGCGAAAATCGAAGCTCCTGCTCCATCTTCGGCGACGGCAGTGACGACCAGGCTACTCCACCTACCAAGGATACTCCACAACCATCGTTTTCAACACTCTTTCCTCCAGGTAAATGAAACATCTATTTCATCTCATATTCCAACTTAGGGTTTAGAATGGATAAATTTCGAATTTGTAAATTAGGAATCGATTTGTGAAATGATTTGTTGTGTATGTGGATATGCACTTTGTTTTATTTTCATTTCATTTTAATCCATCTTCAATCATAATAACCTTCATTTGACAACAAATCAATCATAATTAAAAGATAGGGAAAATATCCTAAGCTAAATAGGACTAAAAACGTTTAATTTGTATATTCCAAAATAGGACTGTCATGTTTTTATTCCCAAAATAAGACTAATTACTTCCATTTTTTTATCAGCATCAGGCTTTAAACATAGCAATATTTTCCAAACTTGGTAGTAATTACTTCTACTTTGGGAATAAAAACATGGGAGTCCTATTTTGAAAATTTTCAAACTTATTTACTCCTAAAACATATTGTCACAATCTCTATCACATAATTCAAAAAATGCCTAATTTTAGTTTTTAGAATGTTGTCAAATCATATTTTTATAATGTGAATAATTAGTTTTACATTATTTTAACTCTCATATTAGCCACTGAAAAACTGTAGAAGGATAAATATATAAGTTTCAAATAGATTTATGTAATCGACAATAACTTTTTTATCATGGGGTTGTCTCGGTAGTATAGATGGATTAAAAAGAAAATAGTGCATGTTATAGGATAAAACAATTTTTTATAGGGATCTAAAACAAAATATGTCATATTTTCACACACTAAAATCGCATTTAAGCATTATTAGTACTCTCTTTGTATTTAAAAAATCACTACATCAGGCTTTGACACAATATTTAAGAGAAAAATAGTAGGGTTAATGATTAGGGTAGAAAAAAATAAGAGGGAAGCTGCAAAAGTAAGAAAGAGAAGATAAAAGTAGAAAAAATAAGGGTAATTTAGTATTTTTTTTAAAGAAAAAACTTATCAAAAAGAGAACGTGGAGCAAATTTTTAAATACATCTTAAATAGAAAAGTGTAACAAATTTTAAAATGAGATTTATATAAAAATATTATTAAAATAAAACATATTTACACAAATATGACTAAAAGTTACTACAATCTAATCTAATGGTAACTTCAGTTTAAAACTTAAACATAAGTTATTATTATTCCATTATTACTCTAGTCATTAGTCATATTTTTGTAAACAATCTTTAATTTAGTCACAAATATGTAATTATTTCATCATTTTTCTTTTTTCTCCCTAAAACTTTTCCCTTTTTAATTTTAGCGTCTTGGATCTTTTATTCCCTTTTTTGGTCTTCTTAGTCTTATTTTTATTTCTTTTATTTTTTATTTTTCAATATTTATGTTTTCCATTTTTTCTTCTTTTTCTTCTTCCAGTTTATTATTTCATTTTCATTTTTATATATTTTTTCAGATTAGTTTCCTTCTTATAAAAGATCTTTTTCTCACCATGCTAACCTTCTACTTTACTTTCTTTTTACTTGCACTTATGTATTTCATTTTTCCTTTTCTTACCTTGATTCCAGCACTAATATATTATTTGGGAAAATAGCTCCAGAATAGGACTAAATTAATCCCTAAATTCATAAATAGGACTATGTTATTTATCTTCCCAAAATAGGACTAAAGTACACTCTATTTTCTTATTCTACTCTTACCATAACTTAATAAGATAATCATATTTTACATTATAATAAAAACGGAAAAATAATAAAAAGTATTTCAATTCATAAAAAATATAGTTAAAAAATATAAAAAAAAAGTCAAAAAGTATTCTTTAAAAATAATAAAATAATAAATAGTAATAAAAAATAGGGAAAAATAGTTAATATACCCCAAACTTTGACGGGGTATGAGATGAATACCCCAAACTTGCATATGTAATTTAAATACCTCAAACTTTATATAAAAAGTTATTTTAGCACCATAGTCAAGTATTATTTATTTCAAAAATGTAAATTTATGGTGTTAATTGCATAATTTAAAATATTTTAGAATTCATGAAGACACAATTAACATTCTAAACTTACATTGTGAAATAAATAATGTTACCCCTAACAATCTATATAATTGCAACATTTTTAATTTTCTATTTTAAATTATGCAATTAATACCATAAGTTTACACTTTTAAAAGAAATGATACATGACAATGGTGCTAAAATGAGTTTTATATAAAGTTTGGGGTATTTAATTACATATGCAAGTTTGGAGTGTTTACCTTACACCCCTTTTGATTTTTTTTTATATTTTTATTATAAAAAAAGTTATGTTATTGCTTTTATGCTTTAATTATTAATAAAATATTAATTGCACTAAAACAAAACAAGGGTAGACTTCAAAAGTTAGTCCTTAAAAAATTTCATTCGATACTATTTGAGGAATTTCCCTTATATTTTTCTCTTTTCTAAAAAATTCAAAGAAAAAATATAAACAAGTAGCTTGGAAAAAATTATAAAAAGATACTACAATGAATAGGAATACATAAAAAGGAAAAAAATAGGAAGAAAAATAAAAATCAAATGTGGGACCGTTTTGAGAAGATTTGTATAACGTGAGATTTATGGTTAATTAATGATTTGCAAAGAAAATGAAAAAACCTGGAATAGCATGTCATCAACCGGTCAGGGGCCGCCGAATGACGATGGGGTGCAAAGGTTAGATTATTCCTGAATTGTGATTAGGTAGGACTATTGTAAGAAGACCGTTAAAAGGTTGGATTATTAGTTTCCATTATATAAATGTTAACTTTATAAATTTGTTAACTTTGTTATAAATTTTTATAAATTTATAAATTTGTTAACTTTTAATAAACCCTCAAAAACTGCCTTTATAAAAATGATGAGACCTAGAATTTTAAAATTAAAATGATTCAAAAAATTGGTAAATCGCGATCAATAAAATTTTAACTATAAATTTACTAAATTATAGATGAATAATTCATCCCACAACTCCAACCCTTCTTCAAATCGTGGCTGAGGCCGAGGCCGTTCCAACTCTCAAACTCCAATAATCATCCAATAAACATCCAATGACGATATGTCAATGGATGAAAGAAACCAACGCGGCCAAACTCCCACTTCCGGACTACATTCTAGTGCTCGCTTTGGTGGAGGCGGGAACATCCAATTCGGAGGTGGAAGCACCTCTTCTCAACCGATTCCTTTGTGGGTGAATCCATATGCTCGATGTGTTATCACCGAAGAGGTGACTAGGCGAGAGAAAAAAAGCATTGTCTAAAATCTATCTAAATAATCACTAAAAGTTAAAAAAAATTAATTTGTTTGAAGCAAACAATGGATTTTGGAGAGGATTATTCAGATTATCACTAGCCATTTCCATGGGGCATGACCTAGTTACATGGAAGTTGATGAAGAGGCCCGCGACTTCTAGTGGAGGATGTTTATGTAAAAATCAAATTAAATTTTATGCACCATTTTTTAATTATTAAAAATATTTATTTTTAGTAAGACTTATTTTTTATAACGAAGCATGAGCATATGTGGAATATTAAAAAGGCTGATGATATAAGAAAGGTGTATCATCCGCTTGTTTCCAATCGGTTGATCGGTACATTTTGAACCGCTTGAGGTTCCAACAAACAGCCAA